ACTATCATCATAATTAAATAACTCTGTAAAATTGAAAGAGCTAAGATGCGATACCAAAGTGTTAGGGGGTCAAATTCAGTGAGGGGAAGGTTCGGCAGCCCCCCCAAATCCGATGCAGAAAGCCTGAGAAAAGGCGGAGTTGCAGCCCTTACTGTGCGATGAAGTTCCTGAATTTCATCCCTTCGTGCATTTCGGATCCCTAGAGTTAAAATCGTACTTTCTTCCATGATGCTCGCATACTCCCCTCTTTCAATTTGTTCCCCCCTTTCTATTCCTCCAGCCTCCATGATTGTCGAGTTCACCATCCTTTGTTGCGATATTACTGCTGAAGGGATAGTCATAGCCATGCTAGCTTTTTCCATATTTTTGTATTCCATCTCATTATTTCTTTCGAAACCTAAGGGGGAGGAGGCCCATTCTGAAATTCCTAAGGTGTGGAATATAGTTCCTGGTCCTCCACCCTGTCTGCCTGCCTACTGAGGTGCCGAAGGCTCTCTAACCTCAAACGTAGAGCCCAAGAAAAAGGGCCTAGTTGGAGAGGCTAAGGTGTTTGCATTACCCATAGGCTGACCCATTCCCACCGTAGACCTGACTGGGCTTGAGCCCTCCCTTCCCCTTACTATCACATGAAGATCGGATTCTAGGAGTTGATCTTCACAAGGAGCTTGGTTGTTCCCACCTCCATGTGCGCTGAAATTAGGGTTTAGAAGCCCCTCCTGAACCATATCAGCGTAAGGATCTCCACTTAAACCAAAACGCCTTCCCGGAGATAGCACAAGGTCTGGCCTCACCGGATCCTCCTCCTTTTCAACCAGCACCGAGCCTTCATTTGACCATTCCTCCTCGCCTGTCTGAAACCCCTCACTATCAACATTCTCTTGTGATGATGAGTGTTCATCAAATTGATGATGATTTTCTTCAAAATCCCTACCCACCCTAGGACCTCTCCTATGCACAGAGGGTCTTGTTGTCTCTCAACAGGGTGTAGGTCTAACTCCGAATTTCGGAAACGATACCAATTTGGTAAACCACGAATCAAATTCGAATAAAACGAGTATTCCGTTGGCCCATATAGCACCCTCACACCATCGGCCTCCACCTCGTCCAACCTACGCCTCACTCTCCTCCTCGCCACCACAGCATGTAGAGTGCAACGCGATGTGGAGTGGCCTGCGCACCCACACGACTTGAAAAACCTGTAGATGCCTTCATATCTTAAGTAAACCCATATCACTCTATTTCCTTCAATTATAAGGGTATGAAGCACCCCGGGATTAGAGGAATAGAGAGATCGATCAGCATTCTAGCCCTAAGCTCCGCCTGATTAGGGAGCTCATTTCCTTCCTGCTCAAGTTCTTCCAAGTATCCCACATGCCGGAGGATTTGTCTTGCCCAACTAGAGGTAAGGTAGGCCAGGGGTAGCCCGTAAACTCTTACCCATACCCTCGTAAGAGTAAAGCTCATTTGGTGGGGAACAAAGTCTGCTTGATACCTTCTGAAATTGATAATTCTCCCGTCAAAAATTGATGTGCCTGCACTAATAAGACCCTCAAGGTCTTGACTATTTCTGCATTCAAACAGAAAATATTGTCCTGATCTATGGACTCTTATTTCCCCCCTCCTTATCCAACGGGAGTTGACAATATGTTGCACAAAATGCTCAGAGGGAGGGTTGGGTCCAATGAAAGAGCCTATAACACACGAGTTAAAGTTAATAGTCATATTGAGAAGACTAAAATTTTCTGGGGCTGGAATAAAGGTCCCCCCCCCCCCCCCCCCGCATATTTTGGAATTGATGTTCATCATGAGGATTACTATTATTGCTCATGATTTATGCAAGAAGAATAAAGGGGAAAAGACAAAATAAGAATTAGGTTGAGATTGGAATTTTTAAAACAGACAAGACGAAGAAAGAAGAACAGACAGAAAGAAAGACAAGAGGATGTAAGATGGAAGATGAAATGCAGGCCTTAAACTCCCTGCATTTAGAGAGGGACTTCTGTTCTTGGAATTAGAAGCAGAATGCGCATGGGGAGCAGACCTGGATGAATTAATGAACTTAATAGGATAGCCGCCTCTAGCTATCACTTACTGCACTAATGAGAGGAAGTTAATTACTACCAGAAGCAAAGTACAGTGGGAAAACCAAAGGAAGATCCCCTCTACCGTTTCGAGAAGACCAAAGGGCTGCTGAAAAGGGTATCACCTTTTAAGGAAACGAGGAAAAACAACAAAACCAAGAACCTGATTGTCTTGGAAGAAGAAAAAGGAGGATAAAAAGAGCCACGGACACATGAAAACGCTTGATATTTCTCCAAAATAGGGTTAGAAGATAGCTAAGAAACCTCTCATACAATACTATGAGGACAAGCACATCTAATCCGGAGAATGGACGACCTCCTTGAAGGAGATGGAAGAAGCCCTAGTAGGCTGAAAGGACTCACTTTTAGTGAGGGGAGCTCTCGTTTTTAGAGAGAGAGGATATTGCCTTGTTTGTGAATTTGTATGCCTAAGTGTTTGCGAATTTTAGTGACTAATTATGAAATATTTGACATACATTTTTTGAATTTTTTGTAATACGCATGATAATGTTTGGTTTTTTTTTCCCCCAAAGGTTTGCAAGATTCAAAGGGAAGGCCCGTTAACAAGAAAAAAAATTAATGAAATTCGCGACATGTGGGCTTTTTTCGTGACATTTGATGGCATCTAGAACTGTCGGAGTGGGTGCACACACACCAAATTAATTAGTGAGCTTGAGCTTATTAGTATTATGAACATCATTTTAGTTATGTTTTTATATATTAACATTAATTATAATTAGTACGTAGTATTTGTGAATGTTATCTTTATATATTTTGGTGTAATTACATATTATTATTGTTAATTAAACATATTAATGATGTTACTTTTGATATATATAATTATTTCATGTTATATATTATTGTATTATTGTTTGTAATATTAATATTATTATTAATTAATAATATTAATATTATTATTAATTAATAATATTAATATTATTGTGACAGGTTACTGATATTATTATGACAGGTCACTAATATTATTATCATATTATTATTAATAATAATAATGTGGAAAAAAAAGCCTAAATGAGAAGCGGTTTGGCGCCAAAACCGCTCCCCATTACACTTTACATATCATGTGTGAAATGAAAATGGGAAGCGTTTGGCGCCAAAACCGCTTTCCATTCACTACAAATGGGAAGCAGTTTGAACACGCTTGCATTTAAATGGGCAATGGGAAGCCCCCGAAGCCGAAGTGGTTCAAAACCCCTCCCATTAGGGGGTTTGAACCGCTTGTCATTTACTTTTTTCTACTAGTACCCCAAATCACCGGCGGCGCCAGCCAGTCACCTCGCCGCCAACCATTCCTACCTCCGTCGCCCTCCCCTCCCCTCCCCCAAACCACCATCACCGAAACCTCATTCCCCTCCCCTCAAACCACCAAAGAATCTGAATGTTGGAGCAATGGTGATTGATGCGTCGTCAAAGTTAGGGTTTTCACTCGCCGAAGTATCGACGATTGGTTACCGTGATTTCATGGGGGAAATCATCATCATCGTGGCGTTTCCGATTTGAGTTCCGGCAGCGAGTCGTGTGGCGGTGACTCGCGCAGTTGATTATTACGTGGTGGGTAGGAGTTAAAGAAGGGAGAGGGAGCGGTAAGGAGGTCGGGGTTGGTGTCGCCGGCGCAGGGGAGGGAGCTGGGGTGCTGACAGGGGGTTGCCGGAGGCCCGGGAGAGGGGGAAAGTGGATGTTGGCAAGGAGGAGAAAGGGTGGCTGGTAGTAAAGGTTTTTTTTTAAAAAAATAAATATATTGATAACATAACAAAAATAAATATTAAAGACATTAAATAAAATAAAAAAATAAATAAAGTGTCAAACCAATAGAATAACGACATGTGCCCCATATACCTACTAATCAAGTCACCAACTGGTTATTACCTGTTTATAACGGATACTTCCCAAAGTTTGTATTATTCAAAAATAATTAAAAGATTGACTTGTTTTTGGTGGACCGCTTAAACTTTGTATTATTTTTGACAATTTTTCCATTTATTTGATCAAAAATAAAACTATAAAATAACTTTTCTTTCCTAAAAAATTTATCTAATTTTGCTTACTTAACACCATATGTCATACTAATAGATAATTATCGACGATATTAGTAAGATGGTACTTATATTATTTCAATGTACTATGCATGAATTAATAATCACTTAATAATAATATTTGCACCATATAAATATATATGACCATTAGTGGTTTTGGTATTTACAAACGACAATATATAAACATTAGTGGTCGATTTTCGATTTTAAATAATCAATTTTTTATCAATTCGATTTTCATTTAAATCAAAAGGTTTCAAATGGTTAAACGATTTAGATTTAAAATTTGACAGTGCTAGTGTGCTCCCATATTTAATATCCGGCACAAATGTTCACAAGTCCATGTGTATTTGTTTCATTTTCAACTCGTTCTATTTGAATAAATGCCCCTAGCTCAAAATTTATCTTTTTTTTTTTTTTTTTTTTTTTTTGAAAGAAGCTCAAAATTTATCTACATGCAAACATCTTTTATCTTCTCTTAGGTTTCACTCAAATTGCTAATGTGAATTACATTTTGTAAGATAATCATTAAGTGTATTTCGTGTGCTATAAACTTCATATTGCAAGAAAAAAAATGGTTTTATAATCAATTACTTCGATTGTGATGGCCTTTAATCATCTTTATGATCAATAATTCAATAACGGAAAGGAGCATAAACATACACCATATTTCTATTAGTTCTGCTAAACACCATCTGAATAATAATAATGTTTCTATTTTTTTATTAGGAGCAAAAAATGGAAATTATTTTTTTTATGGAAAAGGAAATTACTTCGTATATTTCACTGGAAGTTTATAACAATTTTTCTACTATGAGATACATAGTACAAATCATACATAGTACAAATCATAAATTATATGCCTATCTGAACAGCAAAACAGCATTTGTGCAAAAATAGTTGATACAAAAAATGCCATCTTCCTTTACAATTGAATCTTGAAAAAGGTCATAAACAGATCTTTAGTTCTTCGACCCGTAAAATATACCAAGTACTTCCATATCCTATCCACCCCCCACAAATAAACTGTATTGTTGCCATAAACAGGAAAACTGTGAAGCTTTATTAGTTACAAAATTTTGACTTATACATCGCCGAACTACAACATTACGAGTCCCCCACAATACCTATACTAAGTATAATTGATAAATACAGATACGCCACAAAATTACAGGCAGGGGGAAGGAAATATTCTACAGGAGTTAATATACCTTGCTGTTCAGCCTGCCGTAAATGAAGCATTAGTAACCATGATTACTATGGTTCATAATTTAGTAGGCGGCAGCCTCCCAAGCTCCAGCCTCCCAAGTTGTATGTCAAGGTCAAGGATGATAAGTTATTAGTACATCAACAAAAAATTTGCTCCATCCCTAAATACAGCAGTCATCTACTGTAGCTTCAAGCATTTTACATAACCAAGATCACCCCAGCATAGATGAGAGTGGGCAGAGGCTTGTGGTTTGGTTTCCGACTATATATATATACTTACAAACAGAAGCTACAACAAGTAATGAGGAAAAATACATATCATGTTATAGATGTTAGCTAATCATTCCCGTCTGATCAATTAATGTACCAATTTGTTCACCACAAAGGGCTCTCGATATGTTACCAGGTTCAAGAAAGTTGAAAATCACAACTGCACAGAACAACACAATTTGTTTATGATCACGGACTAGCCAATTCACATTATATTAGGATAACAAATTAGACAGATTGAGTGGAAGATGTAAGCACAAAAATGTGGCAAAAGCTCCGCATATGCAGCAGAAAAGAATGTTTTCTTATATGTTTCTTATATGTGCTATACTTTCACAAGATAAACATGAAACAACTATTTTTCTTTGAATCATGAGGTTTAACCTTTAGTCAAATCAATCTTCCCTGACAATTCAATTGAATATCGAGAGCTACTACTGTTCCACAAAAGAAAAAACACACATTACTTATAATTGCTGAAATCAAAATATAATGTGACAAAATTAAAACCGTTCGTTTGAAATTAAACCTCCCTTTGTTGTTCTTCTCTATCCTTTCCAAACTTCCCCGTCCTTTCTTGCTTCAGTCATAACCCCCACAACGACATCAATCAGACGATCATCATCCACCAGCAGTTGTAAATCAAAGAAAACAACCCCAGAGCTCCAAACTTGTCAATTCCTCACTACACCCAAAGTTTCCTAACCCTCTTTGCGGTTTTGTGTCTGCACAACACCAATCCATTCAAATTATCATCTCCATTTAACCTTGTATTATCTACAACCTAACAAAAAGCAACCATTGCATTGCCAAAAAAATTCACAGCCCATTATCCAGTTTCAAAACCTTCCTTTTCCCACCATAATCTCCACAACTCCCACAAAAAACCTGTCACTCCTTTGCTCTCGAAGTCAATGCAAATAAAGTTCTACGGAGTAGTTTTGACATCAAAAATAATCTTCGGCTGTTTTTCACTCCAAACCTAGGTTCAAACAAAGAGAGATATATGAAGACGAAAGAGGAAGAGGATGGGTATGGCCTATGTTGCACAAACTCGAGTAAGGTTGTCATATCCAAGTAGGGATCGGAGGATCCGATCCTCCGATTCAAAAAATAGCCGATACGGGGATACGGTCAAAAGAGTATCTTGACTAATTTTTAAGACACAATTGACATATTAAGTGTCGGGAACTTTTCAGATAGTTAGTAAAAAAGAAAAAAAAAATCTACTCCCTCCGTCCCATAATATAGTTCCTGTTTTCCTATTTTGGAGATCCAAAATGTTGATCCTGTTTCTATTTTTCGATAGTATGTAAAGACCATTATACCCTCACTTTTTAACTTTATTCATTGTACTTCCTAATTTATCCTTGAATTTTGAAACATGCCTTGTACTTTATTCCACTTCTCCCTGTAACTTTTCTCTATTATTGTACTTTTCACTTTTATTAATGTACTTCATCCACTTTCTTCTCCTATTTCTTAAATACCGTGAAAAAACACAAACAGGAACTATATTATGAGACGGAGGGAGTATAATATTATCATCTGTACCCAAAAAAAAATAAAAAAGGGTAAACAGTAAGAGAGCAAGTAGTATTTAACAAATACGTAGTATATACAAGGTATAATTTTTCCCTTAAGTACACAAAAAATAAATGGAAAACAGCTGTCATTACTCTCACCTAAGTTATGAAAAGGTAAAGTCAGTACACAAGGTATATCTTTTCATGACTTGGTGAGAGTAATGACAACTGTTTTGTGTACTCTAAGGAAAAAAATTTACTTGTATATACTACGTATTTGTTAACTACTATTTGCTCTCAAACTGTTTACCCTTTTTTATTTTTTTGGTACAAATGATAATATTATAGATTTTCTTTTTCCTTATATAAGTATCTGAAAAAAAATTCCGACACTTTATATGTCAACCGTGTCTTAAAAATTAATCAAGACACTCTTTTGACCTTATCCCCGTATCGGCTATTTTTTGAATCGAAGGATCGGATCCTCCGATTCGTACTTGGATACGACACCCAAACTCGAGTCCGTGCAACATAGATGATAACCCTTTCTATGCCATGATTTGGCACACAGGCACACCAATTTGTACACCACTTTGTCAGATTGACCTTTGATCAGGCTGGTCCACCCCTGCTGAACCCAAGCCAACCGAGTTGGGGCCTTTTAGGCTTTTAGCCAGCTTACTTGGTCCCAGCATCCCAATCGATCATCCATGTGCCAATCAGGCAAGTCAAACCCATCAACGTTCCTTAAAAGTGGCATGTGGCCTACTTAAGAAAGATGTGCCAAACTTAAGACACTGAATAACTACCAGCATAGGCATTGCCCACCAAATGTTGGCCTTTTTTTCCAGAAAAATGCAGTAATCACAAGATGATAACTATCTAAACTGACTGGAAAAACAGATGCAAAAATTAAATATATTAAAAATAAATAAAGGAATAAGAAAGGCACATATATAACCCAATGAGAAGTTAACCAGTAATAAAAGAAAGTCTAATAAAGAAGCTAAAGATAAGAAGCAGAATTACAAAATCATATAAAATCAGTAAAAGCAAACAAATTTAAGTAATACTATCACCTAGTCGATGAATGAACTTTGTCACCATAATATTTTTTTTTTTTCACGAGGAAATGAATAGAACTTATGGTTACCCATTTATTGCAAATGGGCAAAGTTTGTCACCTTAATGATAGTTACAGCATATTTTTCTCCATTCCTTAGATATTGCACCGTCTGCAAACACTATCTACACACTCCTCTTTAATCACATATTGTAATTAATGTGTAAGGGTAAATATAGTCATGTAGGCTCTTGTTAGATTTGAATCGTGCTTTAGAAAGCAACTCCTCTATGTTGCAATGTTAAAGGGACGGAGGAAGATATAAATGAATCAGCTTGTTGAATAGTAAATACTTAAGCTGAGTATACTAACCAGGAATAGCATTCTCTTCACAGAATGTCAATGCCATCACGCCCATAGATGAGGGGCCTCGGGAAGCAGCTTCTCTGAAGGATATGTGCTCAAATGTAACGCCACTTGAATTACAGTCATAAACAACATCAACATTGGTGCCTTTGAGAACTGCCTGGGCATCAACTGTAAGAAAGGGGACAAAACACTACACTTAAGACATGAACCAAGCTGTAAAGCTACAGTGAACCATACACACCAACCCCAAAAGGCAATGACCAAAACATAAATTTTTAGCAAAATTACAGGAGAGGATCAAGTCATACGGTCAGTTGCTCGTAAAGCTGCTGTTGTGTCAGTTGAAAAGAGAGGATTTCCTGAACCACCACCAACTCCACCGAAGATCACCACTCTGCCTTTCTCTAGATGTCTGATTGCCTTTTGTCTATTGTATGGCTCACCCACCTCTGACATTGCAAAAGCAGTTTGTAAACGTGTCTGAACACCCATCTTCTCTAAGGCTGACTGGAGCAACACTGAGTTCATCACAGTTGCCATCATACTGACAAGGGTGAGCAATTGATGTGAGACAAAATAATTCACAACCATCATACTGACTACGAGATTTAACATTAAAGTATACATAGTTCAACCCGAAAAATTCACAACTTGAGTGACAAGACTGACAACTACCAAACACAGCAGAGAACATATCATATAAGGAAATGTTAAGGTAAGAACATAAATAACAAGGTGACTACTAGACCATTTCCTACAAATGCTAGACAGGCCATGCCATAGTACAGGTGTAGCAAGATATAATATGCCAAAGAAATTATTTTAATATCTATAATTCACAAGCTCAACAGCAAACCAAAATCTTGCCACGACCAAAAGATTCCACTTGGACGGTATATTCAGAACTACTCCTGAATAAACTAGTGAAGTGAGGTCAATGCAATAAATAACTCCCCCAATTGCGGTACTCATAATTATAAAGCACTGCTTCAAGAAATCTGCAAGGAAAAAAAATAATAATAAGAGGGGGGGGAGGCCATAGTGCAGGATTCCTCTCCTCGTATCCTTTCATGATTCAAGCACAATTGCGTCTTCAATTTAAAGCACCTTGAGTTGTTATTCTTTCTTGAATGACCACAATTGATCAAAGCACATCACAACAGTATGAGCTTTTCACCTCCTATTGAGCCAAAAAAAAAAAAAAAAAAAAAAAAAAAAAAAAAAAAAAGATAAACCTAAATCTAATAGTCAGCTAAATCCAATGTTTTAAAAAAAAATTTAAATAAATAAAAAACCTAATCCTAATAATACCCTTCTCATGATAAATCTTTACTGTAATGGCAGCAAAATACTTCAAACAGCATCAAATTGTCTTTCAGGGAGACTAACAACATCCAAAAGAGAACTTAGAGGGTTAGGTATCAGGGTTGTTTGCGCATAATATGCAAATGAGCTATAACATGCATGACCTATGGGAAGACTAAAGGAAGCAGCCACCTCAGTTTATCAGACAAATGATAACTATAAGACACTAAACATCACAAGCGTTTTACACAGATCATCTTCACTTCAAGCCTTCAACATACACAAACACACCCAGAGACAAACACAGCAGAGAGCCAGAGAGTGCGAAGAAACAAATCAGTAAAGTAAAATACAACCAGCATACTAGTACACTCCAATTGTCAGGAACCAGGTAAAGAAGAAAATGAAGAAACTATTAAAGCATACAGAATAAATTAAATGTTTAGCAGGTCTTTAGGATACCCAATATGATATGTGGTAGATCTGTCAGCACCGGTTGCAGTTATCCAGGTATCCCCGCAGAAAAAGTTACGCCCACCAATCACAATTGCTACCTACGACACAACAGCAATTTTCAGTCTGTAAGCACTAAAAATACTTAAAACAAAAGTAGGGAGGGGTGGTAGAAAACGAGAGATTAAATCACCAAGATATATACCTGAACTCCAAGGCGACAAGCCACAGTAACCTCTCTAGCAATTAGCATTACCACCTAAAAATTTCAACAGTCATTCAGATGCTGAAATGAATAATGCTACCAGATACACAGCAAATTATTCAAAGACCAACAAATTATAAATATACGATTCACACCACCCTCCTCTCCAATCTATATATATCCCCTTCATCAACTACTCGCAGCATTCAAAAAATGCCCTCAATCATGTTTTGCAAGTTTGGCGACTCAAATATGTACATTGCACAAATAAATGAAACACGTGTACTACAAGATACAACTAGAAAATTAAGTCAAAGGGGGAAAAATACAAAGGAACTAGCTGAAGCAGCGGAGGGAAAACAGCGCTGAAATTTGCAGTGAATGAGACTTGGTCAAAGGAGCCGTTATAAAGTGATGCCGAAGTTCTAGTTTGTGCCCTGCGAGAGAGTGCCCATAGCAGGCGGCTAAACACAAGTGCTCAACAATTGCTAAAAGAATATGTGCTCTGATTTATTCCTTATCGGTTGTTTAATTTACAATCTGTTTTCAAGAACGTAAGAAGCGTAACTCGTCATCTGCCTCGTTAGGCAGATGATTTCACTAAGTAGAGGTCCTACTTAGATTGGACCTTCCAATTGATACAAGGACTATCCTATTGAAGAGCCAGAGTGGCAGCAATCAGAACAATGAGCTGGCAAGAGATGCTGAGAATGCTGAATCAGCTGACAAGTCAGAAGGAGAGGGAGATAAGATCGAAAATGATGCTGACTGGGAGCAGGAAATTACAGAGGAAGGTGCAGAAGTTGCAGGAGGGAATAATCAAGGGAATTAGTACAAGTCCAGTAGCCGTTAATTTGTCATGTCCTTAGTCCATTTACCTGTCTTTTGTCATATATGTGAGTCAGCAGTAGTGGTTGTAATCAAGGCTATATAAGCCAAGTTGTGATGTAAGATAAATTATGACGAATGATATAATTCCCTTTCCTCTCTCAAAACCTCTCTTTTCTCTCTGTTAATCAGCTTAACTTCATTGTTATTCAATTATTGCCAACAAACTGCCCTTCTTTCTATATTGGCTAGTTTTCTGGGATAATTGCTCGGGTCTCCATTCTAGTATCCTAGAGTCAGACTTGGTTTACTGAGTAAACAGTATCACTGGTATCAGAGCCAAACCCTCCTCGGCCTAGCTTCCAGCATGCCTATCACTCGTTCTTCTTCAGATTAGTAGAACAGGGGTGTATGTGTTAGGATCCTCTCGTTGAGGCCACATGAGGGTGGCTCTTAAGATTTAAGTTGATTAGTAGTCTCCAAGGTTTCAGAATTGTATACTCATTCTACTAATGCTTCTTCAGATTAGTAGAATGAGTATACAGGACTGAGTAAACAGTAACACCAATTTAAGTTGATTAGTAGTCTCCAAGGTTTCAGAATTTCCAGCAGCAGAACCAAAAAGTAAAAACAATGATCTGGGTTTTACTGATACCAAAAGGCAGCAATTTTGAAAATCATTAGTCCTTTTTTGTTTGTAGGGGAAGTAGGGGCAATACATTATATGGAAGTGCCCAGATCGACAGTTTTAGCAAATGTTCTATTTACTTATTTAAGCAAATATTTGCTTATTGATAAGTATCTTTGATTACATAATAGAAAATAACTAAGAATTTTTCATGTTTGGAAAATACATATTGATACAGATCTAACGAAATTTCATTTGAAAACTTTTTTCCTTTAAGGATTGGTATAAAAATAAGGCCCGCGTTTAGTTATAATAGACCGATTCAAATCAAAGAAATTCAAATTAGATGAACTTAACATAGCCTGAACACCTAGTCATCACACTAAATACTCAACAAAGTAAATTAGACATATGAAAAATACTAAGGGGCCGTTTGGTTTGCACGGGGTAAACGGAATGGAATGAACAAAGGGAATGAAATGGAATGGAATGAAAATCCCTCAAATGTAGTATGTTGTTTGGTTGTAAAAAAACAATGGGAATCACTAGATTCACCACCACCACTGTTGATCTCTTTCATCAAAATTTTCCCCACTCCCGGGCCTTCGGCGATCCCCTGCCAGCAACCCAGCCCCCTCCCCTGCGCCGGCGACACCAACCCCGGCCTCCTTACCGCTCCCTCTCCCTTCTCCGACTCCTACCCACCACGTAAAAAACCCTAACTCTGACGACGTATCAATCCCATTGCTCCAACGTTCAGATTCGTTGGTGGTTTGAGGGGAGGGGAATGAGGTTTCGGTGATGGTGGTTTGGGGGAGGGGAGGGCGACGACGACGGTGACGAAGGTAGCCAGAGGGTTTGGGGAGGGGAGCTGTTTCCGGTGATGTGTCGTTGGTGGTTTGAGGGGAGGGGAATGAGGTTTCGGTGATGGTGGTTTGGGGGAGGGGAGGGCGACAACGACGGTGATGGTGGTTCCGGTGATCCGGGTAGGTAGGAGGGTGGTGGTATGGTGGTGGCCAAGGAATGGAATAGAAATACCTTGGGGGGGTGGGGAATGAACTTGGAGGGATTTGGGGGAATGAAGGGGGTAAAGGGAATTGGAAAAGTGGCCTAACAAACAACAACAAAGGGAATGATTCCCGTCGATTCCCATTCCCTTTGTTGAATACCCCCAACCAAACGGCCCCTAATGAGTGATTAGAGAAGGTAATAGAACAAATTAGCTAGAAAGACCAGTGTCAATCCAAAACACTATGAAAGTACCAAATCACTCCACTGCAGGCTAACAAGGAAATGATTGTCATTGCCTAGACATGATAGGGAAACTAAATATAGGTGTATAAACAGGCTCTCCTCCTTCTCTATATTATACACTAATATTAACATTTGCTGGGTTATTACAGCATTAAGCAGTTTGTGAGGTTAGCAAGAATAAATATAGATCTTGGAACAAACCTTAGGGTCAATGTTATGAGGACCGTTGCCAGCTAAAGCAGCACCACTGATCTTAAAAACAACTCTCTGCCATTTCGTATTAGGTATTGATTTTGACTTCATGTTATTGACCTGACCAAGCGAGCCTGGTGTTCCCACAGAATATCTGCCCACGTCGAAATGTTTAGTTAAAAACCGAATCCAACAATTATTACCTCATAAAACTCGAAATACAAATGAAACAAAAGACAATTATACATGTTCTAGATCTCAAGGAAGAAGAAAGAGGTCCAGGGTATATTTCAAAGGCGTACATACAAATCTGTGATACCTGAGAGAATAAGCATTTTAATATTTTACAGAATGGATAATCAACACCCAGTACCCTGACCACTCCATCCCCAAAAGAAAATACTAATGTTTTATCCTTCCTAAACTTCACATAACATAATTGAGAAATTGAGAGTTCCAATGTTATAGGACATAACATAATCGAGAAATACTAATGTTTCATCGTTCCTAAACTTCACATAACATGATCGAGAAATACTAATGTTTCATCCTCCCTAAACTTCACATAACATAAAGCTATTCCATGCTATCATGAAGAATAGACCGACCCCATTCTAGTAACTACTGGCATCGCAAGAGATTCAAAAGGTTCAACTGGTCGATTCAATCTTCACACCCCTGACATCTCTTCTCAATTCTCAACATCGGGGATGGGCTATGATGCTCTATGTAAAAGTATAACTCCTATTTGTTCTTCCACTATCATTGATTTGCTAGTTTCAAGGGAAAATATATTAATCAAATACAGTTGTGGTGATGGTAGACCCATAGAATTCTCTAGCATGTATCTATTCAATCCCTCCTTTACCTTCTGTCTTTCAAGCAAATGAACATTATAAACCCCACCACCATGTTAAAAACCCGATTCAAGTGAGAGAATACACACAATTAAACCTTTTTCTCCTTTTTAATTAATTGAAGATTCTTTCCTTCAACTATCTCCTCTACTTACATTCTCTACCTATTCATTTAAGCTGATGTCACATACAAAGTAACTCCTGAAAACAAATAAAACAAGAACTATAAAAATTCCAAATTTCAAAAATTGCTAAGAACAAAATGTAGTATACCTCTTCTGCTGCCTAGTAGCACTCCCACTAGAGCCACTAACCTTATCATCATCCGAAACCGACTTAAATGACACCGAATTCCCCACAATCGCCTCCATCTTCTTAAACCACGGCCAATGGCTAACCGCAACACCGGCACTACTCATCCTATGCCTCTCCAACTTATACCTCTTCTTCAAATTATCCACCTTATTCTTACACTGCTCAACACTCTTATGCTGATTCTCACACCTCTCACTCACAATCACCGCCACTTCCTCCCAATCTCTCCCCCTCAAATTCCCCCTATTCAGCTGCGTATACTTCTCCGTGTACGCATCTAGCAAACACTCTATCGCCGTATCACTCCACTCTTCTCGATCTTTCCTATACTCGCCGGCGCCGGCGATCTCCGCCGTCGTCTTCGTCTTTTTATAACTCCCTTCGCTGACGTCATCCCTGTCAATTTCCTTCCTTTTCTCCGCGGATTCAGTCATAATGTTAATCGACGAATTGTTCGGATTCGGATCCAACTCAAGATCCGGAACCGACTCGAACTCCGACGGTTCATACGTGACCTCGTAAACAACGCCGTTGTCGGAGCTTCCATCGGCGCCGGAGATCTTAACGACGTCGTTTGAGACCTCCGAGGCGGCGGCGGTGGAGGGTAATTTCGGGTGTAAATAATGGTGATGGGAGTTGGACTGGTGGTGGTTGTGGTGGTCGTCGGCGGCAGCGGTGAGGAGAGAGAAATCGTCGGCCATTTTTAGAGAGAGAAAAGAATTTTTTAGGAGAGAGAAAAAAATTAAAGGTGGGGATGAGAATGTGACGACGTGAGACGACGTTAGTTTTGGGGTGAGGAAGAATAGAAGATCCGTTTTATTTTAGTGAAGGGTAAATGAAAGTGTTGGATGAGATGTAACGGTGGGAGGGGTGGAAATGTAACCGTTACGGTTTGTTACGGTTACCGTTAATGATGATGGTAATAAATGATGAAGTGTTGAAAGTCATGAGTGTGGGTCTTGGTGATTGGAGGTGGAGAGTGATTGTTGTTACTGAGGTTCGCCTCATTTCTCGGGTTGTTTTGGACTTTTGTTTTTTTTTTTTTTTTTTTCTTTTTATAGTTGAACTTGACTGATTTGGAACTGGTTACAAACTACTACTTGTATTACTTTGAGTTTAGAATTGATGTTTACTAGATTAGTACTCGCACGTTGTACGGTGATAATAAGTAAATTTTCATTTTTTTTTTTCTTTTGTTGATAACTTTTTAAAATAACTTGCTCAATTATTTATATAGTAAAAAAAATATGTGCATTGTCATTTTTAAATTGCTATTATTTAATACTACATCATAATATTTACTATATTATTTGAAAATATACAAAAATAATGGTTTGATAAAATATATTTAATGATGTTTTATCTATTGAGCATAAACGTTTAGAATGAAGCTAAAGGAATGAAGTACTCATACTACCTCCGGTCGCTATTGATTAGGGGATTTTGCTCCCACCAATCGGAATGCGCCACGTGGGCCAATCAGGTCCTGCCAAGTGTCCCCCAGTTGGACCTCTCAGGGCTTGCCACGTGGCACACGCTTATTCGTCCACCATGGACTTATTATGTCATGACACGTGGCATACTCCATGCCTAATGGAGAAGCCGGTCACCTAGGCCCAACTTCCGAGGGAAGCCCAATCAGCCCAAGGTTAACCTAAACCTAGATTGGCACGTTTCCCGAGGTTATAAATACCTCCCTTAATCCTCATTAAGGGAGAGGACGCAAAAAAACGCAGATTACACACATTAAACACTCTCACCTAGAGAGACCCAATCACTTTAATTTCCGCATTAATTACTCCTTAATCAAGTACTAACTTGACCGTTGGAGGCGGAGCTCCCACCACAAGGAGTCTCCGTTGTTTTGCAGGTACAGGCGTCCGGTTCTAGTCTCGGAATTGTAACTCTCCCGCAGGACATCAGAAAACCCCGAAACATTTTGGCGCCGTCTGTGGGGAGAGTACTTCTGAGATGGCATCCACGTCTGTACCGACTCCTGAAGAGAGGCGTCCCTTAGACGACCCTCAAGTTCAGTCGGACCACGATACTGAGAATGAATTTGAAGTTGAAGCTCACACAGCTTCAGACGGGACCCTAAGGGCCCGACGTACCCGTCATACCGAAAGGAGGGAACGGGAACATCTTCAAACTGGAAGCGAGCCAGCAGGCGCACCGCCTGTTCGGCAGCAGCCGACTGATGGGTCTGCTCCCATCACAAGGAACGAACTCATGACCTTCATGAGGGACTTCAAGGGAGAAATTCAAGAGTTGATCAACAAGAAGCCGCCTGCTCTGGACAAGGAGCAGTCGGCTAAGAAACCCTCCACTTCACGGAAGAGGAAGCCAGTTCAAGGGCGAGAGGCGACCCCTCATCCTAAATCTAGGAAGTGGGAGCCACCTGCCCTTGATTTCTCAAAATACCGTTTTCCTACTCCGGGAAATAGGAAACATGTTCGTCATATTCAGGCGAACGGGTCGAGGAAAACATACACAGACGCTCGGCTACTGCTAGAGCAGAAGAAGAGTGACCGATTGTCAGAGTCGGCCTCTACTTCAAACTTCCAAGACAGTCTGCGAAATACCTCGCTGAGGCATACTCAGTCGTATCATGAGGGTCAGTCAGGCGGCACCTCCCGTCAGTCTGGCTTTCATAGCGACCAGGCGGTACCAAACTTACCGTTTGTACCGCAACAACAGTATTTTTTACAGCCACCTCCGTTTGGTGGACATGCAGCAAAAAATGTCCAACCTATGGACTGGCAGCTACGGTTGCTTAGACTTGCAGAACAGCCGTCGGCCTTCTCCAAGGAAATTACTGAAGCCGCTCAGCCGGCCAAAGTGAAAAATGTATTAGTAGGCGCCTATGACGGCACTACTAACCCAGAAGACCATCTGATGGCATTCACCAACCTGATGTACCTTCAAGGGTTGGATGATCCCACTTGGTGCAAGTGTTTCCCAGCGACTCTCAAAGGAATCGCACAACAATGGTTCGGCAACCTGCCGACTGGTTGTGTAAATAACTTCAAGACGCTTGCTTACTTATTCACCTCCAACTTCGCCATGAACATCCCTGCGAAGAAGACGACCCTTGATTTAGGAACAATTCAGCAGGGCGAGAAGGAGGGGCTTCGTTCTTACATCAGGCGGTTTAACCTGATGAGAATACAGATTCAAGGGTTACTGGATGAAGTAGCCTATACTGACTTTTTCAGAGGTCTCAAAGATGGGTCGACCTTCAAATTTGATTTGGTCCGAAAGAGGGTGGCGACTCTTCAAGAGGCCTTGATTGAAGCGGAAGCCTATATACAGGCGACTGATCTTTGTAGTACGGTAAAACAGTCAGACGGGAGAAGGTCCGACAAAAGAGAAGGACGACAGAAACAGTCGTCAAACAAAGATGAGAAGAGAAAAGAGGTCTGGGCGGCTGATTCCTCTAAACAGCCGGCCCAGAAGAAGAAAAAAGAATTCAAACCATACTCCCCAAAGTATGCGTTTAACAAGGATAGGCAGTTTATCCTAAAGGAAATCAAGGGACGGATCTCAATTGAGAAGCCGGTCCCCATGAAGGGTTCTGCAAACAACCGGAACCAAGAAAATTTATGTGATTATCATGAAGATGTTGGTCATCACACCAATGAATGCATCACTCTCATGCGGTATCTGGACCGCCTGGCTGAGCAAGGTGACCTTGACACTTATGTCAAGAAATCTACGGGGAACACTTCCTCGAAAAAGCGGTCGACCAAAAAGAATCAACAGGCCGACAGCTCCGATACAGATGATGCAGTCGTCTACACCATTGTAGGCGGCTTCTCAGGAGGCGACCCCACTATTAGGGGCAACAAAGACAATATCAGACAGTTAGATGTAAATTCCGTTCACCAAGAACGACCCTCCAAATATTCATTTCCTGAGATTGTCATCACTGAAGAAGATCTAGGAGGGGTAAGAGGGCCGCATGACGACCCTATCGTTATTGAATGTAAAGTGGCCAACCAGAGAGTTGGCCGAATCCTCATAGATACCGGAAGCTCCTCAAATCTCATCAGTAGCAAATGTATGTCGAAGCTAAAATATCAGACTGATTGCATACATCCGGCATCCCACCCTTTAGTAGGGTTTGGAGGAGAAGTCGTCCACCCAGTGGGACGAGTGGATTTACCCATCCGCCTGGGCGAAAAAGGGGAAGGACGACACATGGTAGTCCGGTTCCTGGTAGTAGAAGAACTCTCGGCCTACAACATGATTCTGGGACGACCAACCCTGAATAATTCCAAGGCTGTTATAATCCCATCTCTTATGTTGCTCAAGTTTGAGAGGGATAATGGAACAGTCGGGTCCCTAAGGGGAGATCAGAGGATGGCCCGAGAGTGCTATCTCTCGGATGTTAAGCCCACTGTTATGGCCACTGGGTCGAGAGGTGGAAAAATAGACCTTGACAATGTCAAGGAGAGTGCGCCTGTTCAAGAAGCAGGCGGCAAGAAGAGAAAGGCATCCCAGACAGGGGCCGCAAGAAAAGACAGAAAATAGCAATCATTGGCAGAGGAGCGGTCGGATGAATTCCGCCCTCAGCCAGCTGGTGAGCATACGGACCTGATCTTAGATGACTCGTGTCCTGGCAGAACAATCAAGGTTGGGACGACTTCTCTAAGGGACCTGGGTGACGACTTTCACAAACTATTGAAAGAATACAAGGACATCTTTGCATTCGAATTCCATGAAATGCCAGGCATTAGTCCTGATCTGGCGGTACATAAACTGGCCCTGGATCCGAAAAATAAGTCGGTACGGCAGAAGAAGCGGAACCATGGCGAAGAAAGAAGTCAGGCGGCAGCCGCCGAAGTTAAAAAATTACTTGATGCAGGGTTCATTCGGCAATGTTACTTCCCAGACTGGGTTGCAAATGTGGTGCTTGTTAAAAAGCCGAATGGCACCTGGCGAATGTGTGTAGAATACACAGACTTAAACAAGGCGTGCCCCAAAGACAGTTACCCTCTGCCTAAAATTGATAACCTGGTCGACTCAACAGCCGGCCATGCTTTGATGAGCTTTATGGACGCCTACTCTGGTTTCCATCAAATTCCTTTATGGAAGAAAGATCAGGAGAAGACGGCCTTCGTCACTGATCAGGGGTTATACTGTTACACGGTCATGCCGTTTGGTCTTAAGAATGCCCCGGCCACTTTCCAGCGAATGATAAACACTGTGTTCTTTGATCAGATTGGGAGAAATGTCGAGGCATTTATTGATGATATGATTGTCAAGTCTAAACTTCAGAAAGATCATCTGTCGGACCTCCGAGAAACTTTCGCCACACTCAGGCGGCACCATGTCATGCTCAATCCCAAGAAATGTTTCTTTGGAGTTGAGTCTGGGAAATTTCTCGGATTCCTTATCAATCAGAGAGGAATAAAGGTGGAGGCCTTGGGAAGGTGCAGGCGGTCATCGACATGCAGTCGCCTCGTACCATCCGAGAGGTTCAGAAGTTAACAGGTTGTCTGGAGGCCTTGGGAAGATTTCTAAGCCGATCAGGCGACAAATGCCTATACTTTTTCCAGGCAATTAAGAAAAAGGCAAGGTTTGAATGGGGGCCGGATGCTGAGGCGGCCTTCCAGAAATTGAAAGTTCACTTGCATTCCTTGCCGAGGCTGGTCAGCCCTTTGCCCAAAGAAGTACTCTACATGTACCTGGCCGTCTCTGATCAGGCGTTAAGCGTTGTTCTCCTTGATGAAAGAGACGGCTTTCAGCTCCCGGTCTACTTTGTCAGTCACGTACTGAAAAATGCCGAGTTGAGGTATCCCTTAGTGGAGAAATTTGGTCTTGCACTCTTCATGGCTGTTAAAAAATTGAAGCCCTACTTTTTGGCACATGCAGTCGTCGTGTATACAGATCAACCTATCAAGCGGCCACTGACCACCATGGAGTCGTCAGGCCGAATGATCAAATGGGCCATAGAAATACAGAGCCTCGAAGTTACCTTCGAGCCTAGAAAAGCAGTGAAGGGGCAAGCCTTTGCTGACTTTATTGTTGAGATGACTCGTCCTCCTGACTCTCAAGTTTCAGACCAAGTCTGGAAGGTATATGTGGATGGAAGCTCTACTTCAAATGGTTGTGGAGCAGGCGTCATATGTCAGTCGCCAGAGGGCGACAGGTACGAGTATGCTCTACGCTTCAGTTTTCAGACCTCAAACAACGAGGCAGAATATGAAGCTTTACTAGCCGGAATCCGCATGTGCAAGGCGGCAGGGGCAAGAAAAATAGACGCCTGTTCCGATTCACAATTGATAGTGAGTCA